ATCAGAGACTGTTACTTGAATTAAATGATCTTATTTTAGACACAAATAAATAAATAAATAAATAAATAAATAAATAAATAAATAAATAAATACTCTAGTGGAATATCAACAACTGTTTATTGTTTGTAAGACAGAACCAACAATCAACAGAACTTAAAGGTGTTTACCTTCATGGTACAGTGCATGCCACTGCTTTTTATGCACATGTAAAAAAATAGAAACGATTTGCTTTTAGAAATTGAAATTCAACATTAAAATGCATCCAGCTCAGATCCAGGGTACGAAAAGGTCACTTTACCGCATCTTTCTAACATGTATGAATATAATGTGAGCATTCCACACAGCAGCGATGCTACAGCTGTCATTACTAAAGTGGAAGTGAATTCACTACCTTTAGCAAAAAGATAAAATAAAATAACACAACTAGAATGTAAAAACACAGTATGAGAAACAACTGCAAAACTCATTTCATAGTTTAAGTTAAGTCCATTTCACAGAGTCGCCATCACTGAGGTCTCCTAGTCTCAGCGGGAGCAGCACAAACACACATTCAGATGATTGTGTTACAACAGTCTGAAATGATCGCAGCTGTGGTATAAAGTGCAACGCAAAATAAAAATGATGACTGAATAAACAGCTTCAACGCTAAATGACCATTATTGATCCGTAAATCAAACATTTATGCCTCCTTTTAAGGACTGTAGCTGTTAACGAGACGCTTMCTGGCAGGAAGAGGGAGTGAAAGGATAACTGGGGCTTGGATGTCTATTTCTTTCGAATGGGTCAATAATAAAACTCGTACCAGAGAACAGCAGAGAACCTGGCCCGAAAGTGAAACACAAAAAAAGGTTGAGCATTTCTCCCTAAAGGCTAGCGTCTTAACGTTTAGAATAGACTTACACACGTGCAGAATTTCAGAGACTTCCTGTAAAACTGCAAACTGTCAAATGAAACATATAGGTGCAGCTGTGCTTCTACTAAAGCTCTCTGAAAATGAATATAAAACAGTAATTACAGAGCATACAAGGTGCTGGCTGATAATGTTGAAGGGAAACCAATGCTGATCCAAGGGAGAACTCAAAATGAAAATGTGCAAATCTAAAACTCAGCATGACAGCATTAAAAAAAAGCTAGCATCCAATAATGCTGGACCTCTCTTTTAAATCGTTACATTTACAAACACATGTTGAATAGAAACAATTTATCATGCAAATGATTCTTCTCAAGCCACCTACATTCCTGCGGTCAATCCTGTACTTGCACCTGGTTCACTGATGATGCAACAGAGTCGTTCTCTGCATTCCTACAACAAAGCATGAGGAACAGCTTGAGTATATTTAACATTTAGCTGTTTTCCCCATTCTTCTAGATGTGTATCACAGCTGACAGCAGCTGCTGCTGATTTCTACTGCTTAATGTGGCGATGAATGTTTGTTTTATTCATTTCAGAAGTTCAATCTGGTACATTAAGCCAAAATCTAAAGCTGATTCTTTTGACTGATCTGTACATGTGTGTCTCTGATATTTAACTCATTACAGAGTTACAGTAGGTAGCACAGATTCCTGGGCTTAGATGGCGCTTCGGGCAGTAGCTATGAGAAGCTAAGTAACGTGTCTGAAAAAAAAACAAGTGGAAAAACAAGTTTTGATTTAGTGATGCAGAAAATGTGAACGCGTTCAACTCCGAAAGCACATTAAAAATTGAATTATATACATAATCATGAAGGGCATCAAGCAATGCAATTTGATCTGTCTATATTTAGGACTTGTTTGGGACACAAAGTCAATGAGACATCATCAGGTTAAAGAAGGGATGCAGTGCACTGTCACTACTTCCTTACTGACCCTTGAGTCACTGTTTTTTTTTCTTCCTGAAAGTCAGTCACAGCTGTTTCAGCTGCCACTTTTAGAAGATCACCGTGTCTGGAGCGCCTCTTAGGAAGTCCGTTTAGATGTACGAGTGTCTACTGGCCTAATCTGCCTACTGACTAAAGTGATGATGAAATGAGATGTCCCAGACTGACTGCACTCAGCCAGTGACAGCAACAGTGTTAAAGATGGAACAAAAGAAAATGAGTTTTTTTCAGCATCTGCTAACAAATGTCCAAAAAAGAAGTGAATCACAATTGTTCGATTTAACGTTTTTTTAACGTTCATTTTAAATGTGTTCTGAGGCTGCTTGTCAAGTTTAAGCTTTACACCAACCATCTGAGACTGAAACAAGGTCTCCTTTAGAATTAATCTAACAACTTAAAAGTGAAATAATTAAAGGCACAGTGTGTAGGATTTTGTCAATTCTTTTAGCCGAAATTGAGATAATCACTAACGACAATAATAAAAAACATGTCTAATCATTGCAGACAAAGACCTTGTTT